ACTGTGACCCTGTGTGCAAGATCTGATTCAGCAGAGAGCTCTGTGGTGGGTCCTGAGGTAGAAAGTTAGAAGCTTTTTCTGCTTTTAGAAAATTTCAGTTTCTTCCAACTCCATGTTGTCCTGCWGTGACTCTCTGCATKCTTAGGTTATATGATATTCTGTGCCTAGTTTCTGGTGTATTATTTTGTTTCTAAGACACAATGTTTCACTTGCAATTTTGTTTCTCCTAATCGCYGTGTGTTTAATGAGAAGGCATTTTGTCTCCAACCAACCTGAAACTGTCTGTCCTCACAAGTAACATTAGACCATACATGACAGTCACATTCATTCCTTATATGTCTGCTTGTCAGAGTGCCTATTAAAACAATAAGCATTCAAAATTGTAGTGTCTCTTATTGCATTTCAGTATGATTTCTTCTGTTTGCTTGATATTAAACTTTCAAAAAAATTTCTTTGAGTTTAGTTCAGTACCATTCAGCAAAGAACACCTCTCTTATATTTTATATCTTTGCAAATTTTCTGCAGAATGGATGCATGTACCTCCGTTGGTGTAAGGATTTATTCCCAGGTGGGGGTTATACATCTCTTTGAATGGAAGACCTTTTCCTTTTTTGAACCGGTTACTGTATAATTGTAAAACCAATCTGGGATAATGCCACTTTCGCTTCTGACATTCTTCATTTTATTCTGTCAGAGTGAAAGAGAAGTGAGTTATATGACTCAGAAGAGCCTCCCAAATGTGATACAGAGCTGTGTAGTTTGGGAAGATGGCAAGAAGCTGAAAATATGAGAAAAAGTATGAAGAAATGATTTTGCATCTTGTCAAGGGAATAATCTTCGTGATTCTAATAGGACTTGGAGCTGTGGGGAACATTTTTGTTCTTGTAAACTATATGAGTGTGTTTAGAAGCMCTATGAAATCTATACACCTCATTCTCATCCATTTGGCTTTTACAAATATGATAACACTTTTTTCAAAAGTAATGCCAAGGACAATTACCAGTTTTGGGTTGAGAAGCCTCGTAGGTGATACAGCCTGTAGGATTGTGGTTTATTTTGGTAGGGTGGCCCGAGGCCT